AGCTGAATGACAGTCTGATCTGGAAGACTTGTCTTTTATTGTGTTGTTTTTTGAATACTAATAAAGGGATTGTAAATAAACTTGGTTTAATTTAGTGCAAAGTTTTAAGGGAAAGAGGAGCAGTGTTCTTCAAACTGCAGGTTGTGGTCAACGTTTTCAAAAATGAAGTGCTATAGAAAATGCCAAAATTAATAAGTATTGTTTTATGAAACTTATTTCAGTTCTGGGGACACATCCACTGAGTCTTAATATAAAAACGACTTACTTAGGGGAGCCTGGGTGACTCAGTCAGTTAAGCATCTGATTCTCAATTTGGCTTAGGTCATGGCCTGCTTGGAATTCTCTCTCCCTCTCTCTCTACCTCTCCCCTGCTTGTGCTCTCTCTCTCTCTCTCTCTCAAAATAAATAAATAAACTTTAAATTTTTTTTTCAAAAAAGTACTTAATGTAAATGGTATTCAGAAAAATTTGAAAGCCATAGGACAAGAGCATGTGAAAAGATGGAGGAAAAGAAGTGGTTGTCCTATCATTCTCTTAATGGGGCCAGAGTCTTTTCTCTCTTTATCTCTCCCACTTTGTTTTGTTTTGTTTCGTTTTGTTTCTTACCCACCTGCTTATTCTTTGGATCTGACCATATTGTTTAAATTCTTTACTGCTGTTTCTTTACCAGAAAGAATGAAAATAAGTGTGTTTTGTTGGCAGTGTAGTTTTTATAGCATTAATTTGTTTTATTTATTTATTTCTTATTTAGATGTTTAAAATTTGAGTATAGATGACATATACAGTATGCCATTAGTTTCAGGTGTACAACACAATAATTCACCTTCTCTATACGTATGCTGTGCTCACCACAAGTGTAGTTGCCATCTGTCACCATGCAATGCACACAGTAATCATCAGCTGTGTTCCCTGTGCTGTGCCTTTTATTCCTGTGACTTACTCATTCTATAACTGGAAGCTTGTGTCTCCTATTCCCTTTTATTCATTTTGCCTTTCCCCTCACTCCCTTCCCTCTGGCAACCATCAGTTTGTTCTCTATAGGTCTGCTTTTTGTTTGTTTATTCATTTGTTTTTTAGATTCCAGACAGAAGTGAAATCATATGGTATTTGTCTTTCTCAATCTGACTTATTTCATTTAGCATAATACCTTCCAGATCCATCCGTGTTGTCACAAATGGGAAGATCGCATCCTTTTTTGTGACTTCCCTTGATGCTATGGACAACCTGTCTACTTGCCTCTCTTACTCAAGGAGAGCTCATCAAACCTTTCCCTCTTTCTTCAGTAGGCTGTCTCTAGAAGAAGGCATTTAGCAGCTAGTAGGCCTGAGGGGGAAGGTTAAGTAAACCGTAGCTGTGAATTTAGTACAGACCATTCAGAGGCTGCCTTATCTGGAAAGAGTAGTTTATGCCTCAGAAGACCGTGAAGCAGCTCTTCATGGAATCCCGGTTACATGTAGGCAAGATCACTTCTAATCGTGCTTCTGTTCCTGTGTTGCTTCCACTCAGATGCTTTCTGCTATGTTTTCACTCTCAGGTGTGAATTTCCACTTAGCGATGCACGTATTTAACATACGCTCAAGTTATCTTTTTAGCAGGTGAGATTTCTGTATCCTTACATTTGATCACAGATAGGGTAAGATGTCAGACTCTAAAATGATCGCAATAAGGGGCGCCTGGGTGGCTCAGTTGGTTAAGCGGCCGACTTCAGCTCAGGCCATGATCTCTCAGTCTGTGAGTTCGAGCCCCACATGCTAACAACTCAGAGCCTGGAGGCTGCTTCCAATTCTGTGTCTCCCTCTCTCTCTGACCCTCCCCTGCTTGCTCTCTTTCTCTCTGTCTCTCCCTCAAAAATAATAAACATTAAAAAAATAAAATGATCACAGTGTACTAGTGCTGAATATTCCGGAAAATGCAAACAAAAATGTAAATCACAGCAACAAATATTTACTAAGAACAGAAAACAGAAGTTGCTCCTTCAAACAGCTTATGTTTCATTGGAATGAATTAAATATATGCAGCAGGAGCACCTGGCTGGCTCAGTTGGTGGAACAAAGGACTCTTGATTTCTGGGTCATGAATTCAAGTCCCACATTAGGTGTAGAGATTACTTAACAAAAAAAATCTTTTTTGAAAAATAAAATAAATAAAATCTTAAAAAAAATAAATACATGAAGCAATCAGATAAAATAATAAAATGCTAAATTATACATTGGTACCAACTACTTAAGACTCCACCAGAGTGGGTTTCCCTAATCCATGCTCCATTTACCCCTGAGACAGAGGAGCAGACTTTTGTATTTCCAAATCTGTTACGATTTCTTACTTAATCCATCACTGTTTTGCTATAAACAGGGGCCTAGAACTGTGTTTGCCAATGACCTTTAGCCTCCACCTCTGGGAACGTGAAATCAAATGGTATTTTTGATCCACAGCAGAGTAAAAGAAATGCAGTATTGCAAGAACATGAATAGTTCAAATATGTTTGAGGTTTTGGGATCTTAAAAGCTCTGATGAGAAAATATAGCTTTGTGTATTTGGTTTGGCTGTTTTGAGTTATTTAATTTTAGAGGTAGCTTGTAGAATTCGTTTTAAAATTTGAGCATCAAATGACAGTCCTTTGCTTAGTCATGAGGGATTAGATGTAAAGCCACATTATATTGAGATGACTAGGGACTATTGCTATATATTAACTTTGCTAGGCAGTAACATTGAGAAGAAAAAAAATACCCTACATTCCTAAAGGTTGAGCTGTTGCTATGTTGCAAAATCCGATTTGCCTTGATTCCTGATAATCTTCACTAATCTTTCAAAGAATCATCAGAGGTGATGTTTTTGAGAATGATATGTATTGGGAATGGTATGGTAATAAAGTCTCCCAAAGACTACCATCATGTTTCTGAAGTTTTGTAGTGTTTTGCTTTATGTTCTGTACTGTTTGTGGTGGGAGCATTGGTAACTTCCTGACTGTAGAAGTGGAGGAACTGGCATGGAATACTTTTCTAGAAAACCCATGCTTCTACAGTTTTAAGTAGTCTCAAGGGATTGGTAGTATGTTTACCTGACAAATTAATACAGACAGAAAGAGGGAGTCCTTGCCTTCTCCACTCAACCCCATGCATTTGAGCACAGCACACACACCTCCAGACCTAAGGGGATGAAAGCACGTTTTGTTTTTCTAGCCTTTGAGATACTTCTTAGCAACAAGAAACTTGTGTTCCATAAAAGCTGGTTTGCGTCCCGAGTGCCTGGATTCAACTAATAACACCAGCAGAAAAGAGAAATTTCTTTTACTCTTCCCTTCCCCCTGCTTGTTTTGTTTGTTAGCATTAATACCATTAAATTTTTATTACTCCTGTGTGGATTATTAGGACAATAATCAGAGCATTTTCTGCTTGTTTTGCTTTCCAATGAGAATTTTTAATGTTGTCTCTAAGATTTACCTGAGTTCAGCCATTTTTCTGTCAATGGTGGTTTTTGCCTGAATGTAACGATTCTGTAATGTTTGGGGAGGATGTTTGTACACTGCTGAGGGTACATTTAAAGAATTTTCGTGTTGCCCACACACTTAACATCGTGTAGAACATTTTTATCTCCCCGGAAAGTTCTCTTGTATGTCTTCCAAGCAATCTCTGCCCTGCCAGGAAACCACTGTTCTCCTTGGTTTTGCCTGTTTTAGAACACCATATAAATGGAATCATACATTATATATTCTTTTTGTGTAGCTTCTTTTGTTCATTATCGTGTCTGCGAGATTCATCCATGTTGTTGCATTCCTTTGTTTTGCTGAGTAGTATTCTACTGTATGGAATATACCACAGTTTGTGCATCCGTTTCTTTTAATTATAAACATTTGGATTCTTTCCCATTTTTGTTTTTGTGCTATGAGCATTTATGTACAAGCTTTACATGGACTTATATTTTCATTTCTCTTGGATAAATACCTATGAATAGAATTGCTGGATCAAAGGGCAGATAGATGTTTACTTTTATAAGAAATGGTCAAACCTTTTTCCAAAGTGGTTGTGCTGTTTTACACTCCTGCTGGCAAAGAATAAGAGTTCTGGTTGTTCCACATCCTTGCCAACATTTGGGTTGTCATTCTTTTTAATTTTAGCTGTTCTGGTGATTACATGTACAAATTCTTTAAAGTAAAATAAAATATATTTAATTTTGTGGCATGTCTTGAGATAATTGGAAACACTTTTTAATTTGGTACATCTATTAAGATTCTTTTAAAGTTTGGAGCAAATGTTGATCATAACAGTTGGTCTCCAGGATAGGGCCCAGGATGTTCTTTCCCACTAATCCATGGCTAGAGTTTATGAGGGAAGATTACTGTTAATCCTTTACATCAATTTTAGTCCCTTATGGATTCCAAAATACTTTCTTACATATTTACTCTAGAGAGCAGATGTGGTTCCCATTTTATAGATGAAGGAGTGAAGACTAGAGAGCTTGTCTAAGATTTGCGTAAGGCTTTTAGGAACTGAAACACAGCACTTCTAGTTAGCTGTATTCCACAGAGTGTAAGCTGACCTTGAAATATACACTGGTCATTGATTTGTCCTTTTCAAGTGGCTTCTAGGAATTCTGAGTCTTGTTTTAGTCCTTAGAGTAGATCAGCTGGTTATAAAGATAACTGTAGTTGGTGCCTTTCTAAGAACAAACACATTACTGAGCATCCTAAATTGACATTTTGGAACTCTGCATATAATTTTCAGAGCCCTTTTAGGAACCCCTGTCTAGATGGTCTTAGCAGTGAATATCTATCTGTCATTGCCCACATTGTTGTGGTGAGGGGACTATCACAGCAGGTAATCTGAACTGAGTGGTTGGGAAGAAACTTCATCAAAATGAGTAATGTTTTTTGTTTTTTGTTTTTTTTTTTTAAGCGAATAATGTGTATAGTTTTCCAAAGCAAATTGCAGTTAAATTGTTTCAGCATAAATCCACTTTTGCACTTCTGTCCGATGTTAATGTAAGTTATTTGTTTTATTTCAGTGATGTCCTTGCATTGCCCATTTTTAAGCAAGAAGAGTCAAGTTTGCCCCCTGATAATGAGAATAAAATCCTACCTTTTCAATACGTGCTTTGTGCTGCTACCTCTCCAGCAGTGAAACTCCATGATGAAACCCTGACATATCTCAATCAAGGTTAGATGCTTCCTTATTTGTTAGTATTATTGAAGATATGCTGGATTGATGATATTTTAGTAGGTATACTTATATGTAAAAAGTACATCTTTCTAGCGTGACCTGTCAGAGTTGAAGCCTTACTTCAGAGATTTTCACCTTAATGTCATGTTTAATGTATATTACTGGCTTCTTTTGTGTACTTGCCCATTTTTAGTTCCTGTCTCCCTCTTTCTTTCTAATCCATGGTCCCTGGACATCCCCATTCATTGGTTACCAACTGAGAAGTATTACCTTACCCAGCTCTGTTTTCCAGTTGCGTGGCCTTGGACAAGTTACTTAAACTCTTTACGTTTCAATTCCTGTATCTGTAAAAATGGGATTGATAATAGTTTTGAGAATTGTATCAGTTAATTGTATAATGTATGAAAACACTTAGCACTGTGCCTAGCACATAGTAAAGGATTATAGTTTTGTTAATAATACTAATAATATTATACTCTTGCATATTCAGCTGGATTTTATTCTTTGTGCATCTTGCAAAGTTAATTTATGATTAATATAATATGTAGTTACTTTTTCTTCTAGGACAGTCTTATGAAATTCGTATGCTAGACAATAGGAAACTTGGAGAACTTCCAGAAATTAATGGCAAGTTGGTGAAGGTAAAGGAAAATGAGTAAATCATTTCTCTGCGCAGTATTCTTTTACTGACCCTTTTTGGGTAATATTCTTTTGCTTCCATTAAGGGCTTGGTGGTATCTCTTACCCACTACAATTTGCTGGCAGAGTGGGAAGCTGTAATTCCTTTGGCGTGAGAGTGAGCCCCCTTATTCACTTAGATTTTTCACAGCTGCGGAAACAGAAGGCTTACTACTCCATGTCAAAGTAGTCTCCTGGCTCAGTGAAGTTGTTTTGGGTGGAATAGAGTAACCTCCTTGAAATTTTTAGAAAAGCTCCAGTGTCTCTTTGGATACTTGGTCTAGTAACAAGAAAAACAGAAACTGCTGTTAATGAATAGCAGTTATTTTAGTCTAGACTTCGAGCAATGAATTCACAGCACATTTGGGACTGAAGAGTTTGGTCAGCCGCTGTGAAAGTTGGTGGGGGGATGTAAATAAGCACCTCCACAAAGCCAGAGTAACAAAAGGGAAGTTGATTGATACAGCCCCTGCTTACCCTCAGTGTCGTGTGGTGGGTTAGCAAGGAGGGAGCTTGGTGAGTTTTTCATATACATCTGAAGAGCTGAGCTGGATATTACATGGTAAGAGTAGAAACTTGTAGAAATGCTTCTAATAGGAATCCTTTATACCCAGTCCATCAGGACTGATGTTTAAGCCAAGTATTAAATATGGTACTAGTAACTATAAAGATTATATCTGAGCACTTATAAAATTTACCCCAAAGTAGAATTTGGCATGGTATGATGGGTTTTAGGGTGAAACAGATTTTTTTTTTTTAATTTATTTTTGAGAGATAGAGTGAGAGCACAGGGGAGGGGCAGAGAGAGAGAGAGAGAGAGAGAGGGAGACAGAGAATCCCCAGCAAGCTTTGTGCTGCCAGTGCAGAGCCCGACCATGGGGCTCGAACCTATAAGCCGTGAGATCATGACCTGAGCCAAAAGCAAGAGTCATGCTTTAACTGACCCAGCCACCCAGGCACCCATAGGGTGAAACAGGTGTTAGGAAAAATAATTTTAGGTTATATCTAGAAAACTAACTGGAGGTAACTTCTGCTGGTTTTCTTTTGTCAGCACTGATTTTTATTTTTATTTATTTTTTTCAAATTTTTATTTAAATTCTAGTTAGTTACCATATAGTGTAATATTGGTTTCAGGAGTAGAATTTAGTGATTTATCACTTACATATTATACCCAGCGCTCATCACAAGTGCCTGCCGTAATACCTATCACTCATTTAGCCCATCCCCCACCCACCTCCCTCCACCAACCCTCAGAGTTTGTTCTCTTTGTTTGTTTCATGTTTAAATCCTTTTTTTTTT